TTAGCTCTTACCCATCTTGGAGTCGAGCAATCTAGTGGTTAGGAATACTAGACAAAACGATTATTAAAAATAACGAAAAATTCATGCAATTTAGAATAAACATATGGCTTAAGCAACTTATGTTCAAAAGGCAACATGTGAATATATTTTTCTATAAAGAAATACGCATCTGAAAGTCTCTAGAATTCGAAAGTTAAGTTAAACTTTGTTATACGGTTTCAAACTTACTACAAATAAAGTACAATCAGGACTTTTACATAGCTGACTAAGAAAACAAATTATTTGCCAAATATGTGAGTAGGAAAAATGCAACAGTGAAAAAGTGGGCCCACCGATCCTGAAGGAATTGAGGTCATAGTTTCCTTAAGACCACGCCATGCTGGAACGCAGGATTCACGGAAGACTGTAGGGCGGGCCGACGGGACCCCAGTCTGCTTGAGAGAAGTCATACCACTCAACAGTCTTGCTGTTTGGCTCCCTCCCACAGCACCCGCAGAACCTCCGGGAGCCCCTCTGATGGGCTGGGCCCCAAAAGTATCTCCTTGCCCAGAAGGTAATGGCGAGCCCCCAGTTGTCATGATAACGACAGAATGTGCATTATTCGATGTTGTGGCAACTATGGGAGATGCGACATGGCCTGTGACTGAATGAGTAGAAATGAGACCTCCGGCAGCAACGGAAGAGCGTGGAGCAGCCGAAACCGTCTGTAAACTGACCAAGCGAACATCACCAGCTGTGGTGAGGCCAGCTACAGAGCTTGAAGAATTGCTTAGACTCAAGCAACCACTCTGTGCGGAGATAGAGGGCAAATAAATAACCTGGGGACCAGATGAATGACCAGAACTAGAAACACTGGTAACAGAGCCTGCACTATTTCCGGTAGAGGCTGCTGCGACTGAAATGATAGACGTGTTGCTGTTATTGTTACAATTAGAAGAAATTAATGCAGAAGTTTGACTGCGTTGGCCTGGTCGTATAAGAACGCTAGTACCGGCGCCCATTGGTGTGGCAACAATAGATGCACCTGAGCCTCCATTATCCATACCAGTAGATGCCGTCCCACAGTTAGTCAGAGTAAGGCTGTTGGAAAGAGGCCTAATCACATAGGAGGTATGTTGAGGTTGCTGTTGCGGAGGCTGCGACTGAATAGGAGGCATAGAAGTACCAGGATCTTGTCCACTCCCAGTCATGATAGACCCGGTGTTAGAAGCTATATTCAGCTCACCAGCGTCAGATGCAGAGGCAAAAGAAGGTTGAAGCAATACAACAGGTCGGTCCAGAGTGACGCCTTTTCAAGAAAAATAAAGCGTTTACAAACCGTTTAGGCATTAATATACACAATTCAGCACTAAATTCTACACACTATACAGACCACAAGTCTTTATCAAGTTGTAGTGTGGTGCTAAGAATCGTAAGGTTGCCTGACGACGCCGACTACGATATTGGCGAAGCGTCTTGGAATGTATCAAGTCCACGGTCCGACACAAAAAATTATCATGCATATTATAAACTCCAGATAAATTGAGTTTCTCTAAGTCTCCCTGCAAATAAGATAAAGTTGCTGAAAACAAGGTCAAGCAACTTCTATAAAAAGAAAGGAAACTGCGACTATACAAAAGGCCACACCATATTGATCTTCATTCCTTCGGTTAAAGATATACTACCCATGCATTTTCTCGGGATCCAAAAATAATATTCG